TGGGACTGCCTTTAGGCTGAATATCATATAAAGTGGGAAACTCACCCAGTGCTTGTCGCTTTTTCCAAGTCTCAACTATCCTCCAATGTCTGCCCATGATTACTCTCTAAAACCTTCAATTAGTTGTTTGGTGTATTTTGTCCATACTGTATAGTTGTCGTCTGAGGAAGGATTGGCTTGAAAGGAGCTACTCATCCATTACAAGAAGTGGATTAAGGCCTGTTTTGTATTAAATTTCAAGAGAGGGCTTCAGGCAGGCCTAAGAAGCAGGAGGGAGAGAAATAAAAGTGGGAGACGGTGAGAAGGAAGGGATGAAGAGAAATTAAAAATAAAATTTTAATGTGGTTTTGAGATAGGGTGCCCGTCAGGAGCAAAATTGCCGTGACTTCCCTACTCCTATTGTAGACACTAAACTCAGATTAGAATTTAGGGCATGTGGGTCTTATTTTTGGCATTGCTGCTGACATAGTGAATGACTTGGTGCAGTCACTTCACCATTCTGTTTACTAGTCAGAGAGGGGATGCTACTTTTGTCTAATGTGATCCCTTGATAACTGGCCTTGTTTACCTGATACAATTTAAGTATAATATTGATCACACAGAAGCTTGATATAAAAACTCTTTAGAAGAAACTCAAGAAGTAATTATAAGGCAGCTTCTGAGTGAATGGCTTTCATAAATTTCTCTACTTCATCTTTCTACGTCTTACTTTCGTGGGAAATATAATTTATTAAGTTGAAAGTACACCAGGCTTTCAAACATTCAAACTTTACTCCAATTTCCCAGGTAAACAGATATTTTTTTGACAAATTTATAAAAAAGTTAAACAAAACCAGATGACGACATCTTACATTTATTTCATCATCATATATATGTCTTCAAAGTTAATGTTGCATGAGGAAACTAATACTACTCTTTCATTAATCTTTTTCCAAAATCACTTTGATCGTGCATAAGCACAAATTATTAAAAATGATTTCTCAACTGTAAATACTAAGTGTGAGTTTTCTCTGGCCTTCCTATCACCCAGATTTTCCCATTTAATAGCAAATTATAAAGCAGAACTAACCTAGCAAAATATATTAACTGTTAGGGCTACACTCACCCAAGCCATGCATTCACATGACTAGTTGAATCAATATGTTTTGATTGATTCTCATGTTATAGCATTAACAAGTTATCTAAACAAAAACATTTTAAGAAAATATTTTCCAAGTGAGAAATACAATCTCTCTCTCTCTCTTTCTCTCTCTGACTCTCTCTCACTCACACACACACACATGAAATCCAATGATACGCACTTTTTAAAAACATTTTTAATGAAAGAACACTTATAGTTAGTAATAGTTTACACATAGGTGTGACAGTATTTGGACTGTGCTATTAATCATTATAGTATTAGTTAACTTTTCCTAAAAGCACTTTTTTTTTCCCAATCACTTGTACAAAAACTCTCAGCACCACACATTTTGAAGCTAACATACAGTTTCCACACTAGCAAGGCTATAAGCTATAATATTTAGAGACACAGACAACATTTAAATTATGGTAGGTCCAGACACTAATGCTTAATACTGGTTCACTGCTATTGGAAATCTCTTCATTTCTCACACGTAGATAAAATGAACTATGTATTGCCTTCAGATAGAAGCATTTTTCTGATTATCCTGTGTTTCAACTTAAAGTCTAAAAAATTTCCACTTAAATAACTTTAAAATCCATGTATACCTGGCTTTCAAGTCTCCATGTGCCTGAGAAACAGATGTCAAATAATCTTGGCCCTAGTAGGGTAGCTCAGTTGGTTAGAGCATCATTTGATATGCCAAAGCTGTGGGTTTAATCCCTGGTCAGGGCATGTACGAAAATCAATCAATCAATGCATGAATAAGTGGTACAACAGATTGATGTTTTTCTCTCCCTCTCTCTTTTCCTCTCGCCCTTTCTCTCTCTGTCAAATCAATCAATAATTTAAATGTCAACTAATCTTATTTTCATGATAAAACATGAATGAACCCAGGAAAAATCATAATCAAAGCTTTTATGATACTAACCTAGAATTATAAGGAGACTTAGCAATAATGTACTCTGTGAACTTTTCCAATGAGGAAAAGTAAGGCTTAAACAGGTGAAATGACTGCATATATTCTGCTCTTACTACAGAGCAGCAGAATCAGACCCCATGTCTCCTGGCTCCCCATCTAGTGTCTTTTCATCATACTATTCCACCCCTTATAGAGCCAGAGACTTCTAAATTGTCTTAAATAAATATTTGTATGGTCCTAGATAGTAAGTGAAATAAATAAATAAATAAAAAACATTTAACTAAGGTAACTTCATTGTTACAAATGTTAAGTTTCTAAGTTGATGTTTTTTTTTAATTTAGCTATTTACACATCAAGGCTGTATGTATTGTTGATTTATACAACATACCTTTATTATTTATCCTTACATATCCAATTTTAATTATTCTGAATAACTGTGTTTTTTATCTTGTAAAGAGGTAGAAAAGACTGCAGGAACTAGTGAAAAAAAAAAAAAAAAAAACTATAGCAATTATTGACTTGCCTCAAAAAGCTCTTTATATGTATAATTAGGCCATAGTTGTAGTCCCAAAAGTTGTCCTTTCTCAGAAAGCACATTTAAAACATCTCAGAGATTGAACTCATTTCACATGTTTTCTTGGAGAATTATTTCATACCAATTTTGCATTTAATATATCATTGTACTAAATGTTATTTCTCATGGATGTTAAGTGTTTATTGCCTCTAGCTGTGCCGTCTCATCACAACTAGAAAGGCAGTCGTGAAAATTGTGAAATTTTTAAAATTCTCCTGATATGCCTCTGGCCGGTTTGGCTCAGCAGTTAGAGCGTCGGCCTGCAGTCCAGAGAGACCCGGGTTCGGTTCCCACTAAGGGCATGTACCTCGGTTGCAGTTTGTCCCCAGCCCTGGTTGGGTCATGCAGGAGGCAGCTACTCGATGTGTCCCATTCACGTCGATGTTTTTCTCTCTCTCTCTCCTCTCTCTCCCTCCCACTCTATCTGAACAAAAAATGGGAAAATGTCCTCGGCTAAGGATAAAATAAATAAATTCTTCTGATATGGAAGGTATTACTGTGAGATTGATGATTATTTATTTTAAGAGAGGTTTTGGGCCTCAAAACAAATGCATACTCTTTTCTACAGAGAGATTTTTTTGGAGGGTCCCAGTTATAAAGTTATCAGTCATCTGTGTTAGAATCCTGATTCTGCTACTTGCTAGCTACTTGACCTTGAGCAAGTTATTTAACTCTGTGTGACTCAAATTTCTCCTCTGTGAAATATGGATAATCATAGGCTTCTCTCATAGGATTGTCATGAGCATTAAAAGAAAGAATTGGGCCTTGACCAGTTTGCTCAGTGGTCAGAGCATCGGCCCTCAGACCAAAGAGTCATGGGTTCGATTCTGGTCAAGGGCATGTACCTCGTTGCAGTTCAGTCCCTGGCCTTGTTCGGGGACGTGCAGGAGGCAACCAGTCAATATGTCTCTCACATCAATGTTTCTCTCTGTCTCTCTTTCTCTGTCTCTCTGTCTCTCTCTCTCTGTCCCTCTCTCTCCCCCCTCTCGTTCTATCTGAAGGTGAATGGAAAAAATATCCTCCAGTAACAATTTTTTAAAAAGAAGAAGAACGAATTGGCCCAGCCAGTGTGGTTCAGTGGTTGAGCCTCCACTCATGGACCAATAGGTTGCTGGTTCAATTCCTGGTCAGGGCATGTGCCCCGGTTGCAGGCTCAATCCCCAGCTGGGGGCATGCAGGAGGCAGCCAATCAATGTTGATGTTTCTCTCTCATTGATGTTTTTGTATCTGTCTCTCTCTCCCTCTCTCTCTAAAAATCAATAAAAACATTTTTTAAAAAAAAAAAAAAAGAAATAAACAGGTGGGAGGAGCTAAATCACAGAACTTATATGCATGTGTGCATGACCAATGGACATGGACAACAAAGCTGGGGATGGGGCGGGGGTGAGGTGGGGAGGGGGTGCCAATGGGGTAAAAAAGGAGAAACATCTGTAACAAAAAAATAAAAAAATAATAATAATAAATAGCCCTGGCCGGTTTGGTTCAGCGGTTAGAGCGTCGGCCTGCGGTCCTGAGAGACCCGGGTTCGGTTCCCGCTAAGGGCGCGTACCTGGGTTGCAGTTTGTCCCCGGCCCTGGTCGGTTGTGTGGGTGGCAGCCACTCGATGTGTTCCTTTCACATCTATGTCTCTCTCTCTCTCTCTGTTCCTCTCTCTCCCTCCCACTCTACCTGAACAAAAAATGGAAAAATGACCTTGGGTGAGGAAAAAAATAATAATAAATAAAAAATTTTAAAAAAAGAAATAAACAATTGCCCTGGTCACTTTGGCTCAGCGGTAGAGTGTTGGCCCATGGACCAATGAGTCACGGGTTAGATCCGGTCAAGGGAACGTACCTTGGTTATGATTTGTCCCCAGCCCTGGTCAGAATTGTGCAGGAGGCAACCAGTCGATATGTCCCTCTCACGTAGATGTCTCTCTTTCTCACTTTTTCCCCCCTCTCTCTCCCTCCCAATCTGTCTAAAAATAAATTGAAAAATATCCTTGGGTGAGGATTAAAAAAAGAAATAAACAATTGACCCTGGCTGGTTTGGCTTAATGATTAGAGTGGCAGCCTGTGGGTCGCAGGTTTGATTCCTAGTCAAGGGCACACACCTGAGTTGCATGTTCGACCCTCTGCCCTGGTCAGGGTCATGTGGGAGGCAACCAATCGATGTGTCTCTCTCTCTCACATGGATGTTTCTCTCTCTCTCTTCCTCCCTCCCTTCCACTCTATCTAAAAATCAATGGAAAAAATATCCTTGGGTGACAATTAACAAAAAAGAAAGTAAGTATTGTAACACAGTGTAGGCAAACAATAAACAGTCAATAGGCAGTTATTTATCTTACTTTCTCTATTTTTCCACTTTGTAATGTTTTTCTGGATGGGGTTTTGCTTTCCTTTTAGGTTCAGAGCATCATCCGCTCCCAAACCAGTATGGGTATGCGTCACAGAGATCGTGCTACAACTGGTAACACCCTCAAGTCTGGCTTGTGTTCAGCCCTCACAACCTACTTTTTTGGAGCTGATCTCAAAGGGAAGCTGACAATCAAAAACTTCCTTGAATTTCAGCGTAAACTTCAGCATGATGTTCTGAGGCTAGAGGTAGGTGTTCCTTGGACTGCAGGAGATTATGGCACTGTCCATCATGTGTACACACAGAGCCACTGAGTTGGGAGGGACTGTATCCATTGGCATTCTTTCAGTCTGCCTCCAACTGTGAGAATGGATTGATTTGAACCTTATCGGTGATTTATAATGTGACAGCAGGTAGGAAATAATGTGTTCTGTGAAAATGTCTTGAAGAACCTATATGGTTCTGGGCCAGAAAGCAAAAATGTCTAAATTGAAAATCTGAGTTGTCTTTGGATACCCAGTTTGAGGACAAAAAAATGCAGGATCAGAGCTGTTTTCAACCTGATCATCTATCCCCAGTTTTATGTTCTTGTGTCGAAGGCATCAGGTGGAGATGAGGGGGATCCCACTTAACTCAATTGAGACAGTTTAAAAAATCACAACTGACTGCCCATTATTAATAAGAATTCTGTTGTATATCAACAATAATTTAAAAATACATTTAAAAACACTTATTCTTATTGTAGAAGAGAAGCAGAAGTAGGATAATACTAAAAATCAGATCAAAATTTGCTTTTGTACTTGTTTTCTGAAAATGATATACTTGATATTCAAAGAATTTACCTCAAAAAAAAAAAAGTAGTAGATGATATCTACAATTCAGCCTCCTTGAAGAGGCTCTTGTATATAGATCAGATTTTAAACATGTACATGAGAATCCCCATAGAATAATGGAAGACCCAAAGAAGTAGGTAGGTCTAAGTATGTATATACTAGGTTAAACAAAGAGGGGCAACTTGCCTTTATGAAGTTTTCAGTCTTATCACCAGAGAAGGTGAGTCAAAGTCGAGAGAAATATATAAAACAGACCTTGTTAAAATAATTCTTATCATCCTTTAATCTCCCCATATATGTTAGTTACTTTTGTACAGTTGCCTGTCTTTGTTCCTTTCCAGCTGGTAGAGGGAGGACATCTTTCACACAGGAGTTTTATTTCCTGCTTTCAGGAGTCTAGCAATTTTGGTGTAAGAGTTGGTATATATTAGGATTCTGGACATGTGCCTGGGCTCCTAGTATGCATACCTGGAGTGGTCTTTCTTTGGAAACATAATCTGGGAAAGTGAATTATTTAACTTAATAATTATGTAATTACAATTTAACACAGATCCACAAAATGTAGTTAGAGAATAAAACACAAACTAGAATAGTACTTTAAACAGACTTTAAACAACAATACAGTCATTCAGAGCATGGAGCAGGTACCAGTTCCACTGTCTAACCTAACACTCATTCCTAGACACACAAGTGGGAGTCTCAAGAGACAAGAGCTTGGTGCTTTTGTCTTTCATCCTGAGATGCTATCCAGCTGTAAGTCCACTAATATAATGTATAGATTGCCAATGAAGTAGAATATTCCAAAGCAGATTGTGGATTTCATACATGTGTCCCTATACATAGCCTATACCCAAATGCAAAAGAAAAGAGAGCATCTAGACAGTCTTATCTAAGATATTTATTCTAGAAAGCTCCCTTGTACTTATTGTTGACCTAGAATCACCTGTAGGCTTTGGGGCAAAACATACCAAGACCGTTACTGTTTGCCAGTCAGCAATTCCTCAAGTAAGAGAACCAATTGACTCTTTTGTGACAGAACCCAGCCTAACATGTAATAAGTGTTTATTAATGTTTATTAATCACAATTGTGTTCTTTCCATATAATAGCACAAGTCTAGTGAATTAGTGGCTTCTTATTAATAACACTCACATTTAAAGTTTTATGAGTCAGGCCCTGGCCAGTTTGGCTCAGTGGTAGAGCGTCGGGCTGCGGTCCAGAGAGACCCGGTTTCGGTTCCCACTAAGGGCACGTACCTCAGTTGCAGTTTGTCCCCGGCCCTGGATGGTCATGCGGGAGGCAGCCACTCGATGTGTCCCTTTCACATGATGTTTCTCTCTCTCTCTCTCTTCCTCTTCCTCCCTCCCACTCTATCTGAACAAAAAATGGAAAAATGTCCTCGGGTGAGGGTAAAAAAATAAATAAATAAATAAAATAAAGTTTTATGAGTCAGTATTATGTCTTCCCAACTAGATTTGTAATTCTTTGAGCAGAAAGAACATAGATTTTGCTGTTCTCATAATGAGACCTTGGTTAAAATTTTATTTCCACCATTTATTGGCCATGTGACATTTGATGAGTTGTTTCTTCTTAGAGCCTAGCTTCTCAGGGCAATGTTTAAGTGAGATGATATTTCTTATGGGCTGAATTATGGCCCCCCAGAATTCCTATATTGAAGCCCTAACTCCCAGTACCTCAGAATATAACCATATTTGGAGATAGGATTTTTAAAGGAGGTGATTGAATTAACATAGAACTATTAGGGTGGGCCCGAATCCAATCCTACTGGTGTCCTTATAAGAAGAGGAAATTTTCCCTGGCTGGTTTTGCTCAGTGGTTAGAGCGTCAGTCCGCAGACCAGAGAGTCCCGGGTTCGGTTCCTGCTAAGGGCGCGTACCTCAGTTGTGGTTTGTTCCCTGCCCCAGTTGGGGTTGTATGGTGGCAGCCTCTCGATGTGTCTCTCTCACATTGAGGTTTCTCTCTCTCTCTCTTCCTCCTTCTCCCCCTCCTGCTCTATCTGAAGATAAATGCAAAAAAGTCCTCTGGTAAGGATAAAAAAAAAAAAAAGAAGAGGCAATTTGCCTGGCTGGTGTGGCTCAATGGTTGAGCATTGTCCCATGCACCAAGAAGTCGCCAGTTCAACTTCTGGTCAGGGCACATGCCCAGGTTGCGGGCTTGATCTCCAGTAGGAGGCATGCAGGAGGCAGCTGATTGATGTTTTTCTTTCATCGATGTTTCTATCTCTTCTTCTCCCTTCCTCTCTCTCTAAAATCAATAAAAAACATATTTTTTAAAAAAAGAAGAAGAAGAGGAGGAGGAAATTTGACACATAGGGAGACCCCAGGGGTGTACATGCATGGAGGGAGAACCATGTGAAGAGACAGCAAGAGGGCAGCCAACTGCCAGCCAAGGACAGAGGCCTTAAAGGAAACCAACCCTGCCGACACTTTGATCTTAGACTTCCAGCCTCCACAATTGTGGGAAAAAATTAATTTCTGTTATTTAAGTCATCCATTTGGTGGTATTTTGTTATGGCAATCCTAGCAAACTAATGTACCACCTGGCATGTACTATGCCTTTAATAAGTATTCTTTCACCTTCTCTTGTATACCCTCTGCCACTTAGTATGATAGTTGGCATATAGTAGGCACTTAAATAGGTCTTCTCAGATAAATGACCAAAAGGCCTTACTTTCATTTTCAAAATAGTTTTCTTATAAAACATCTTGAAAATGGAGCAATTCTGTTGTTGTTTAAATTCTCACCCGAGGATTTTTTTTTTCCTATTTATCATCAGATAGAGTGGGAGGGAGGGAAGGAGAGTGGGAGAGAGGGAAACATGGATGTGAGAGGGACACATCAACTGGTTGCCTCCGCAGGACCCGAACCAAGGCCAGGGATGAACTGCAACTGGAATCGAATCCTCGACTCATTGGTCTGCGGGCTGACGCTCTAATCACTGAGCCAAACTGGCTAAGGCGGAACAATTTTGTTTTTATGAAACACTTTTAATATTACTTTTCAAAGTTTGGGTAATTTCTCCTCTCATTAAGTATGAAATGTGTCATGATTACAGCCAAGAGGAAAATGGAAATGATTAATAGTAACTTTCATATGGGTTTTATAATTTCATCATTCTTTCTGTTTCTTAACTGTTTTTATTTCTTTACTTACCTACTGTAAATAATTTAGATCAAGAAGACTTATAGTTTCATTAATTTTTTTTTTCTTACCACTGTAGCTTTGAGAGTAAAAAGCACACCATTTATCTGTCAAATTTAATTTCCAGAAGTGTCAGGAAAGAGGGAAATGTCCATTAACATTTATTGAGTGCCTACTATGAGTTAGGCAATTTACATATATTACATACTTTCTTTGTTTTAATTCCAGTCAACCCTATTGGTTTTAGTGGTATTATGCCCGTGTCACAGATGTAGAAACTGAAACTCAGAAAGATAAAAGTCACAGAGCTATTAAATGGTTGAGTCAAGATTCCAATTCAGTCTTTCAGAATGAATTATTTTCTGTTCCTTATCTAATTAGCATTACTTTTAGTCTGAGATGAGATTTCTGTGTGTAACTTTTGGAGCTCTAAAACAAAATGTTCTGAATTTTAAGGACAGAAAAAGGTCAAATTTTTTGAATACCTATAGACTTCTTCAGCATCATCTTTTCATAGTTCCTGGGCCCTCAAGTTGAGTTTTATGACTAAGAAGAAATACACTGTTCTTTTGTGTTTAGAAGATACCTAAACCATTTAATTTCTTTTCATAAGAATCATTACCTTATTAGATTTTTTAAAAATGTTTTAATGTTTACAATGTTTAAAAATCTTAATTCTGGTCAGATTTGTTTTATTCTACCCTTAATTCTCTATTTGGGAACTCAAAAAACATAGGTTTAAAGGAGTGACTTAAGAATACAGAAGTTTTTAGCCCTGGCCGGTTTGGTTCAGCAGTTAGAGCGTCGGCCTGTGGACCAGAGAGTCCTGGGTTCAGTTCCCTCTAAGGGCACGTACCTTGGTTGCGGTTTGTCCCTGGCCCTGGTTGGGGTCGTGTGGGTGGCAACCACTCGATGTGTCTCTCTCACGTTGATGTTTTTCTCTCTCTCTTCATCCCTCCCTCCCGCTCTAGCTGAAGATAAATGCAAAAATGTCCTCAGGTGAGGATAAAAAAAATAAAAAAAGAATATCGAGGTTTAAAAAAAAATCTTTTGAAGTTATTAAAAATTCCATCTAAGGCTACCAAGAACTTGATCAAGTTCCTTAGAAACAGGTGCCAAGTCTAATTCCAGTTAATGTATTCATTGATTTCTTGAGGACTACGGCAAGTAAGATGTCAGTCAAAACTGAAAGGTAATTGAGAACTCTTTGAAAGATTATGATTAGTTTTAATTCTGGGGGAGGAGGAAATGACATA